ATATATTGTTCATACATTCATGGTCCCCAGAGGATGAGTCCTGCTGAGCTCTAGTGGCATCACAAAGGTTCAAATACTTGTTTTTCATTGGAATATCCAAATGTCCAAACATTTTGTGGTGATTTCTGCTTCCCAAAGACTCGATGAAGAGCCAATTTGGGCTCAAAATGTTGCACTTTTTTGAAATCTCGAAGAGTAAAAACAGGATATTTAAAGCTACAAAGTGCACCATCAGGTCAAAATATCAGTTTGTCCAGTACTTAAATAAGATGTTAGCATTGTCATTGTTAGCAGGTTAGCATGAGGATGTGAGCATTCAGCTAAAAGCACCGTTGTGCCTAAAGTAGAGGCTCTCAAAGCTTTAGACTCTAAAAAAAACTATAAGAAAACGATTCAGTGTTTGCACGTAGGACGCCCAAACAGACTAATTGATTATGAAGGAGGCCGTCTGACAAATTACACATTGCTTCATGACAGTTTGTCTTTATTTATTATTAATTTTTCTGCTTGATTAAGCAGCGAGTCGTACGTTAAGCAGTGGAAGAGAGCATTCGGTGTGGAAAATCACTCTTAGAGCCAGTCTTCTCATTAGAAGAAGATATTTCTTCTTGAGACGTTAAAAAAAAATTCAAAAGATCCATCTTCTTAATATTTCATTCCTTGCAGTACCTTCTATCTTTGAGCCTTGGTAGCCGGGGCCTTATTAAAAATACAAGCTGTGTGATCTTTCCGTCAGCCTTTTTAAATCCCTCACTTCGTCTTACTATCTGTCAAAAGCTCAGTCAGATGTCTCACAGACACGCGGAAAAAAAACACCAAACGCCATCACTCTGTTTTGTGGCAAGATATGTCAGAAACTTTAATATTCACAAGCTGCTGCAGCCTTTCCCCGTCTTCCCCACACGAGATGCGACCCCTGGAATTGCGTTGATTGTTTTAAAAGTAAAAGCCCGTTTTATAGATGGATGTCATTTCTGTTCTCCTCGTTTCTTCAGCGAGGAATTTCAAGACTGCCTCAGAAAAGCCGGTGTGCAGAGAGACTGTTCAAACATTTATACAAGCGCTCGCCCTCAAATGTCTGGGAACTGGAACGTATTCGGGGCTCTGAGCTCGGCACCTGCGACACGTTGTTCTTCTGACTTCGGATGAAGATGTTCTGCCCAAATCTTCTTGGTGTTAATCCCAACACAATGCATCTCTGAGTGCCTGCAAACATAACATTCTCGCACGCTCTCTGACTGAAGAACTTGATCTTTATTGACACTAAAACCCGCGTTAAATGCAACTCGTCAGTTTCCATACCTCCTAAATCAAAGTAACAGGCCGCTGGACTAGTACAGTCCGTGTTATTCAGAGGCCTCACCGGTAATTTACTGACTAAGTCATTGCTTGCTCAGTGCTGCTCACCATGTGGAGAAAAAGTTCTTTTATTTTATCTGGGTCATCAGTGGTGTGGCTGTGCTTTAGCTTCTCCTACAGATCACTTGATTTGAACGTGTTGCAGGATTTAGCTGTGTGAAAAGGGGGGATGGATCGTACATCATATTTGCATTCATTTTCAGTATGAGTAATGGAATACTTGCAGTGTGATAAACAGAGATTAGTCATCGTATGTAAGGATGTAATTCAATTTGGCAAAAATGTTTGCCAAGAATAATATAATATGTGTTAATTGTTCCCTGCAGCCATACTAGAGTTGCTCTGGTACCAGTTTGAGCTTTTTGATACGTCCAGCACCTTTAATTTATGATATCAAAAATGCCTCCGACACAGCCGAAAATGCTGGATCGGGTTAAGCAGTTTTTTTGTTTTTGATGCACTGGTATCCGATTGGTACTACACTGAAGAATATTTGGCATTGGAACATCTGTTTTTCCCAGTGGCTTCATTTCAATATTGTTAATGCAGACTGTGTTGTGAAAGGTTAACGGCAAGGACGAGCGTATCGGTATCTCTCTTTGAGTTCAGATATATTTTATAGCTCGCTCTCTCTCTCTTGCACGCCATGTATGCCCAAAGCCTTCAAGTGGAAATGGCTTCAACGACAGCATTTTAGGTGCTTAACACCAAAGTGCCTCGCAGCTCAGCGGTAGGTAATGGCGGCATTATCATTGATCCCTCACAAAGTAAATCCAGAGCGATCAATGCTTTCCTGTGTGTTTTCCATGCCGACAGCAGTCCGATTAAGCCGGCTGCAGCGGAGAGGAGACATTCTGCAGATTAGAAAGATACAACCGAAGAGATTGAGATTTAGTGTGTGTGTGTGTGTGTGTGTGTGTGTGTGTGTGTGTGTGTGTGTG